AGTTAGAAACAAGTACAGGAAAGCTTTTCTAATTTTGAGGGCCGTTTTGTATTACGATGCCAGGACATTTATTATTCGTATGACAATAAACAAGGTGTATCAGTACAGCGGTGACAAACTTTCAGGAGAGAAACAGTACACCTAGACGATGGAAAATTGACATAGGAATGCATGGTCGGAAACGTTTTCCTGGCGCGGTAGTGGCGACACAGAACGCAGAAAAGGAAGAACACAAACAGTGAGACCAAACATGTTTTATTATGTTTAGTACAGCAGAAACCTACAAATAAGAACAAAAACAAACAACGATCGTCATTAAAGAAGGTGTTCAAAATTACGACCCCGACCGTGATGGACCCTAACTTCTCTGGCGCATGGAATATCTGCATCACGGTCCGGGTCGTAATTTCGAATACCTTCTTTGATGATGATTCGTTGTCTCTTTATGTTGTTTTCTCTTTTTTCTTGTACTCCGAATAAACATATTTTCTCACATGTTCGTGTCCTTGCTTTCTTGACTTTTGTGTTGTCACTAAGCGCACCGGATAGTGTTTCCGACCATGCATTCCTATGTGATTTCCGATCGTCTAAGTGTACTCTGTCTCTCCCGAAAGTTTGTCACCGCTGTACTGATAACCCTGTATATACCAGTTCCACGAAATGTAACCTGCATTAGTTACATTAGTGGATATTGACTGCAGTATATCATTTGAGCAATATGATTCATCCTTTTTTAAACTCCACATTTGCATTGCCCATTCATATTAATAATATCGACACACTAAATGAAAACGACAAATATCTGTTTCATATAAATCCATAGCGACTGATAAATTCATAGTTATAAATTTCTCAAAAAACAATTTCTATGGTTTTCCATTTAAACTGCATTATTTGCTAAAATAAATTTAAAAAAAAAAAAAAAAAAAAAAAAAAAAAAAAAAGGATAGAAGGAGATTATAACGCTCTGTGTACAGCTATGATCAATCCTTTCCTCAAATTTCTAATAAGGCCCAATCAGCAAAACACCTGTTGGGGGAGGGGGGTGCCCGAAAATCGTGACTGAAACACCAGGCACTCACCGTCACACCCCCCCCCCCCCCCCCCCCCCCCCCCCCCCCCCCCCCCCCCCCCCCCCCCCCCCCCCCCCCCCTCTCATTGTTTCATGCACAATTACAACGACAGGTGATTTCAGTCACGTAATTTTCGTCGCCTACGGGTTTCCTCTATGAATTCCGTTGCGTGACAAGCAGATCCGATAATTCACCACGAAGTACACTTTCGGTTCGGCCTCTCTCCATAGTCGTTGATTCTTCAGCTGAAGGATTGCCATTTTCAAAAACTCGATGTTTTTTGCATTTCTCTTTTGCCATGCTGGTATTAAATCAGCCAAATATGCAGTGCCAGGTCTAGTTTCTGTTAAGTAATTCAGATAGTTTTTCTGCATTGCACGTTAGATTAGCAAGGCGTTATTACAAAATACCGTATATTGTATCTTCTAGCAAATGAAAATGCACAGAATTTGAATGAAATGAGCTCTTAATTTTTTTCATTAATTTGACTAGTTATAATATTAATAAATTCTAGATAATATATGACAGCTTTAATGTTATCAGAGCGTAAGTGCCAATTTTTTGAAGATTTTAAAGCAATTAATTATAATAAAAATATGATAATTTTAAATGTTTAGTCGGGCAGCTCCGAAATTTAACTGTCAATCCTGATTTCGATGACAAGAGCACATTTTTAAATTTTATCGTGAATGATTTTTCCGAATCTAGTCTGTCAATAATGTATAGTTGATGTGCAAGAAGAGCATTTTTCAACAATTCGAAAGCACAGTAAACTACCGATATCACAGCAAAAGACATTGTTGGAGTATGTGAAATGGATATATATTTTACATTGGACTCCCTTTCCCCTTTTTCTAGAACTTTAATCGTAGATGTTAATGTATGATTCATAACTGTCCTAAGAGTTCAGCTTCTTTTCCATTGTATAGATGGCAATTAAGTGCTTTAACGTCAACCATTTACAACAAATAAATTCTATAAGTTCTCTTTTAGAACCACAAATTAATTAAGTTAAGTTCTCTTTTAGAATCACAGATTTAATTTGTGATGTGGTCTTTGAAAAGCGAATTTTTTATTATATAAGCATTTAGCGTACTGTGTTCAAGGCTTAATTTTTAAAATTCCTCAGAAAACATTTCGCAGTTTTTCGATGATATGAAAATCGAATTTGTTTCTAGATTTAAGCTTAAAGTGAATTACTTTAATACAAGTACTAGTTTTTCATTCTTAGATGGGTATTCTAGTTAATTCCCCTTCTTTTAATTAGTGATTTTTATTCGGTTAATAAACGTTTCGTTTATGTTATTATTCAATGCTACTTTTTTATGATGGAATATCTTTAATTTCACATTTTATAAAATTTCATATGCTGTTAATATTTTTTTTCGAAATGAGCACCAGGATTCTTTTAATTTGAGTGCTTATAATTTAATTTCAGTCGTATAACATAAATTACCTAAAAATTTCCGCTGTGATTTTTCTCAACCAAAATTGAAATAGGGAAGTCAATTTACAGCACGGAAGTCAAAAATAATATGGAAAAAAAAAAAAAACACGAAACCATATTTCATTCCAGATTATTTAAAAACAATAGCTTGCACTGCTCGAGATAATCTATCGTATATCCGGCTGTTAACTGTCATCAACAAATGCCAAACTATACTAAACATAAAAAAGAAACCTAAAGCAATCTACCCAGTGTCATCCGAAAAACAATATACGTAACTCCTACAACGTAAGATTAAAATCGAAATGCTGCTAAAAATCGCAGACGATAAATGACCGGATTGCACCTTGGAATTCGAATTCGGAATCGGTAGCGAGTGGCAAAGAACCATCGTATCCTCGAATGTAAATATTTTTCGAAGGTGATTTATATCAGCTAAAATTGCCATAATATTTCAATTGTCTGAGATTTTCTGAACTTTCCCTTGTCAAGGACGCATGTAAATAAAGCCTTCCGGAGAAAAGCTGCCATCCGCCTCGGAATCGTGATTCATAGTTAATGTGCGTGACCGCCATCAAAATGTGGTTTCGTTGTCAGTCGTGAGTGTCTTATTTTCGAAAGTAAATGTTGCCAGATTTATACAGGCGATCTTTTTTTCATTTTTCTTCGCTGTATGGTCGAGTCAAGAAGAAAATGGCCTACATAAATTCTGTAGCAATTATAAATGCGAATACGTTGTTGCAAAGAATATGGTAATAAGAATGCAAAGAATGAAGATAAATGGGGGGGGAGTTGAAGGCAGTTTTTATTTTTTCTTGCCAGATAATGGCTCAAATATGAATCATTATCGCTGACTGCAATCCTAGTACCTACTATTTAGCAACAGCTAGTCTAGTGCTATTAAATTCGGTATAAATTTGCATCATTCTTTTGCTCAAAGTAATTTTGTTTTTAGTGCTGCCTTAAATGACGCTCTGGTGTGAAAAACGGTAACATGCTATGTGTGAAACGGCTCAACATAATTAGAAGAACATTTGAAACCTTCATGATGCTTTCAGTGCTTATATTAATCATAATTTAATAAATCAGTAATTTCATTTTTAAGATGTGATGAAAGGAAGATGTGAACAGGAAATGTCTGAATTAAAATTATTGGAGCTGTTTGGGGCAATAAAAATCAATTTAGGAATATTATTCTGATTCTAATTGACTTAACACCTCGAATAACATGAATACTCAAGATACTACTTTCTCCGCGTGCAGGCATGTTGTATATAGCTTTATCCTACCTTCGAGAATATTCCTGTAGAAAAACCGCCAAGAAGGCGTTCTAAAATGTTTATTGCGTCTACGGCATATCGCCAATTTTGTCGCCAAATAGCGCCAAATCTAAAACCCTTTCTTTCTGTGACACCTCCTGGCAACCCTAACACCGCTTTGCGGGGAAGATATCTCACTGCAGCTCGGCGTTTCGTAACAATATTTCCTTTTTTTCGGTGATGTAATAAAAATATACAATTGTTATTCATCATAGTGAGTTAATATTTATTGATTTTGAATAAAATACATTTCAACAGAAAGAAGGCATATAATTATATCCCAAAATAAAATAAATATATTAAAAAATTCACGATTGTCATAAATAAAATTTAAAGGACTTTAAATTAAGAAGAATCTTAAGCATTTTTTGACTCGGATGGAGTTAAATGATACATTTAAAAAATATGAGAAAATATCTGACCAGCTGAATCCGTACTTTCATTTAAAAAATTAAATAAAATGATATTAAAAAAATTCATCTTGTTGTTGTCACCAATCTCACTTGTCTGACAATGGTCAGCACAAGCCCACGACATTCATCATTGCAATGAGTCAAATGCGCCTGTCATTGACAGAGCCTTGAGCACCATCTAGTGCTCAGTTCCGCCCCCAATTTTGAGAGAGAGCACCTCAGGGGAATGGGTCCGAGGGTCTTTATTCCCTATTTCCCTAGAATCAACCGCTCGTGAGAACTTTCGGCTCGCCGCATATTTAGAGTGCCCCCATGCCGCACAGACACTATACATTTGCAAATATTCCATGCTTTTTTCGGAATTCGAACTGAGGCCTTTCGGTATGGCAGTTAGCGTCGATAACCACTATCCGGGTTGGGTGGCCAAAATTTCATCTTAAATAAATGAAAAAAAAAATAATAATAATAATTTTATTCTTTTAAAAATTTCATTTAAAGTCTTAGTACTAAAATAACTTTTATTCTTGTCCAAGAAAGGAGGCATAAAATTGTGATTATTGATTTTCTACTTGGAGTAGCAGAGATCACAGTAAAGTTTAAGTTTTTCGTATTTTACCGTTTCAATTCAACAACACTTTTTTTATTTATTGAGACACAGAAAGTGTTATATTATTAAAAATATGCTTTGTAACTTTCTAAGCAATCTTATCAAAATCTGAAAGTATATTCTTCTTGATTTTTAGGGGACATTGGGATTCTGGAGATGATCCCAGTTGCTCAAACTCAGTTTGCTCCCCTCTCCGAAGCACTGTGCAAAGTGGTCGCGGATCTCAACGGAGAACAAATTCCAGCAACGACATCTAGTATCAAGGCCAAACTGGAAGAAAACTTCCCGGAAATGCAAGTGCCCAGCGAAGATATATTATACAAGACGCTAGGTGGACTCATCAAAGAAAGAAAACTCTACCATACCGGAAGCGGTAAGTTTCTTAACATTTTTTTGCCTTAGTTTATATTTTTATTAGGTTCCAAATAGGAAATGTAATTTTTACCATAAATTCAGATATTCATGCCAAATAGCTTAATAATATTTATTTATTATTAGCCCAAAGGAGCGTGAGACCAGAAGGACTATTAGTCTCGAAACGGCATTTTAGAGAGAATACTTAGTATACTCCACCTTTTAAAGGGAGACTGGAGATTACGAATTCCAATCGCCAAATCTGGTGGTGACGAAGTTTCGTTCACCACCTATTTTTTCAGCTCGGGAGCCATTTGTCGAATCATTAGGGCCTTTTTTTGAAGCAGGTGACATGAAAAATGAGCAATGCCCTCGCCGGGATTCTAATCTGGACCTCTCTGAACCGATTGCGCTACTGTTACACCACGAAGGCATGCTAGAAGGAGAGAGAAAGTAACTTATAAACTACTGATTGTACTCTGTGATACTGAGAAGAAGAGTACGATTTTTTTTGTTTCAGAACCGTAAAGTATTTCTTTTGATAAAATAAATTTTTATCAAGTTATCGATTCTATGTGCATTGAATCCATTGCGAACCGTACGCATGGAACAATATTCTCAAGCACCGTATGGTTGGTTAATCAATTAATTGATTGCAGCAAAAAACAGCGGAGCTTTCTGTCTAAAGGTTTATCTTCTTCGAAGACTTTCTTATCAAGTACGAAAGGAAATTTTGAAAAGAATATTATTATTATTTGATGTACTTAACGGCGACGACAAAATTTTTCGAAATAATCAATATATTTTTAAAGGGTGTTATGATGTGATATGGCGAGAAAAAGCTTTAGAAGAAACTTCTTCATATGGGAATTAACAGAATTAAGATGCTAAAATGGATAACATACTTTACAGACCAATCAATCTGTAAATTTAAATATGGAAATTGCTATTCTAAATTATTATAACTTACAAACCGGCCTTCCACAGGGATCATTAAGCAGCAGCACCCTATTTAACATCTATATTAATAATATAGTTGTCGCCCTAACGAACATTCCGGGTGTCCACTGCTTGCTATTTGCTGATGACTTAGCTATCTGGACTCAGGCACCAAAATGTAATGCAGAGCTCGTCATAGAGGAGCGGCTGAATCAAGCAATGACAGTGTTTTCAAACTGGTGCACTGAAAATAACATGATAGTAAATTTGGATAAATATACAGTGCTGTCCTTCTCACTGACCCATCAGGCACTCTGCCCTGAAGTGAAGTATGAAGATGCTTGGATTGTGAATACCGATAAACTGAAATACTTAGGTATTATCTTCGATAACAAGTTGAGTTGGAGACTACACGTAGAATCACTTATAGAACGCTCCTGTCAAAGGCTGACAATATTTAAAACGCTTGGCTGGCTCCTTTTGGGGAGGCGTCAGAACAACTCTTAAATATTACTTGTAATAGATACCTTTGATTCTATATTGCTGCGAACCACTCCTAACGGCAAGTGAGCAAGTTCTCAAGAAATCGAAAGTTTATCATAATCAAGCAATGAAACTTATTACTGCAGGTGTTAAATCCACTCCTATTGAAGCTATTCTACTGCTAACAAACATTTGCCATTAAGAACTGTTACTGAAGAGAGCTGCTACCTTATATGAAAAGTTTCTTCGCATTGGAGATCCAGTCTGGAATAATGTGACCCAACAAGAAATCTTAAGACGCAATGTGGCTTCCTACAAAAAATTTGTAAAATTAGGAAGGAATTTGGTCTAATCGATCGAATACAAGAAAATTGTGCCACTAACAAACCCTCTTTCTATGTACCAATTCCAGACACACCTTAACTTGACTGATTCGGTCACCAAGAACGAAACATCTATAGAGGTCTTGAAATCCCTTGCCTGGCAACCATTAATACTAAATACTCGAATTATGACTGGGTGCATGTTTATACAGATGGCTCATATAGTGATGATCTAACGTCTGCAGTTTCGGGGGTTTATTCAAGCCTTTTTTTCTTCTATGCCTCTGCTGGGGAAAATTGAAATGCATTTATGGTAAGGTAGAGACTCTTGTTTGTTTGTGCGTGAGATTATGGCAAAGCCTCGAGAGCTATCTGCCTAAGAGGAGGGATGCCTTCGTGGAGGACTTTCTAAGGGAAACTGACTCGTATGCACGTTACACATGGGGAAAACCACGAAAACGCCCATGCAGCCAGCCCGTTCGCGGGATTCGAACCTCGGACCGAACTACCAGTGTTCAGCGACTTTACCGCTCGGCCGCTGGTGGGCTGTAGAGACTCTTAGAATTGCCTGAAACAATTATTGACATTGCTTTGTTAATTCGAGAATGCTGTCTTGCTATCAGATTCAAGAGCAGCAATTCAAGCCATTGGCTCTTTAGAAGCTCCTATGCAAATAAATGTTCTTCAGTGACGAGAATTAATCCGAAGCCTGCTGCAGAAAAATAAGAAAATTAGAATGCAGCGGATCCTGGATACAGCAGCATCTATGGAAATGAACAAGCAGTTTTCGTCGCAGGAAAAGAAGCATCACTATTGCAATCAACAAACTCAGATTTATCATATCACTCAATAAAGCTAAACATAAAACAGACTATGAAACAAAGCTATCAGGAGAAATTGTTGGATAGCTTTAAATGAAACAGTGGAAGGCTGAAGATCTTGCTGGTCTGCCTGAATATTCACGATGTAATGCTGTGGCCTTTTTTCGGATACTTACAGGTCATGATTGCCTTGGGCGTACATATTTACCGAACTGGTATATTTGTTCAACCATTTTGCCCACTTTGTGATCTTATGGAACCCATAAACAGAGCCCACCTTCGTCGCTATGGGACACTTAGCGCGTTTTTCCTTGGCAGATATATTTAAAACTGGTCATAGTTCTAAATGAAATGACAGTACATTTAGTCTAGCCTATTTCTTTGAACAACTGCTCTGTCTCCTTCCAATGTTTCTCTTCCAACTATAATGAAAGGTTTAAAATTAAAAGGCTGATATGGTGCGATTTCTGATGTTGCCATCCATAATAATTGCAGAGGGAAAGGGGACTGAAATGGCAGGACTTTTTTTTGCCACTTCCAGAAAGCCTGAATAGGGAAAGCCAGAAATGGAACATAACGCTTTGTATTTTAATATTTGCTGGGGAAAAAAAAGAAAGAAAGAAAGAAATTGCGAAAAGTTGATCATTAACCTTTTTACACAACTGTTTTTGGTCTAACAACAGATTTTATTTGAAATTTTGGAAAAAATTCAATGGAAAAGCTGCCAATTGAAAAAATATTGCTCTTATTATTGTTTTTTTTTATGAAATATTTCATATCAGTAACAGAATTACATACGAAGAGATAAGAAATACGTAATATATTGCAATCATTTATACTCCAAGAAAACGTAGATCGAAAAGAATTTTTAAAAAAACTGTTAGCTGTAGCACAGAGAGAAGAAAAAAAATCAAAATTAAACACGAAAAAGTAATTTCTAGTAGCCCATTTCAAATCAACATCAATTCTGGAAAATTATAAAATAACATACATTTTTACTTTTAAAGTAGAAAGAATAATTCAGAAGACAAACAACAAAAATCAGCGTTATATTTACAAAATTAGAAAGAATAAGTTTAAACAATAATAATAGTGCACATTACACATTTCTTGTCGTACATTACAGTTACAATTATCGTATTCCTAACAGTGCCTAAAAAGCTTAAATCTGCATTATAACGGGCTACTAGAATTGTGAGAAAAAAAGCAGATAATTCAGCAATCCATTTCAGATAATATAAATTTCCTTGGAAAAATGAGGTTGCATTTGGCAACATTAAAAATATATATCATGAGTGCAACATTTAGTTTATTATACGTAAGTACAATTATGGGGAATGAATTTAAACTAAACAGTTTTAAATCAATCCTGCAATAATTTTACTTTCGTTTGCAGTCTATAGTAGCGTGTTAGTAATACCATTACTATTTTTAAGAAATTTGTTTAAAGTATCTGACAACGTTTGGCACCCAGATTTTGGAAATTTGTACAACTAAATCTATTATTGGGGTTATTTAGCAAAATACTACTTAAAATGATAAAAACAGATGATAAATATATTACCAAAGTATAATTTTTGTTTTTTCTTCTCTTTTGGGTTAAAAATGCGTTAAATTTCAGGATTATTAGATATGTTCCAAAAGTATTTATCAATATTTTACTTTTATATTTGTCTCTTATCTTTATTAAGGTATAAGGAATTAAATAGACTGAATCTATGTGATGAAATAAAATGTCTATTAAATATCTCTGTTTGAATACATGCACTATCTATTTTTCGAGAAATTCCTCTTTTTCAATTACAAAATTATCTGAAAAAAATGTAGGTATGCACATAAACCTAAACATTTAGTCCATTTAATTCAGAATATTTCATAGAATATTTGTGGAAAGTTTCATGAAATTACTGTAGTAATATTTTAAGTTAAAGTTGTTGTTTTTTTGTCATAACAGAAAAGTTGAAAAAAATCAAGTTTTTCTAAAGATAGGTTTAATATAAAGCACACAAATAAAAAAAAAAAAAAAGAAAAATGTTGCCAAGTATGAAAATTAAATTGCAAAATTAATCTTGTTCCCAAACACTTAATAACAAATAAAAAGGTTCAAAATCATCTTTTAAACATCACCAAAAGTATTCAAATGAAAAATTCTTATTTTAACGTTATTTGGTGTAGTCTGTGTACCTTTAGACAACAGCTTCCGGTTCTTAAATAGAAACTTCCGGCTCAAAGCATGCAGCAAGAACAGCCATAATGCTGCTTCTAACGACCAGAGAGACAAAATAAAAGTAGTTTTGGGAAGTTTAATATATCAGCTTTAAAATAAGGTACCAAATATTTTTTGAAAAAATTCGTCAAAATTGACGATTAGAATGTAGAACTTCATGACAAAACGTTTTTATGTTTTTATCCTACAGGAGTTAGGTTTTTAATTATGTGAATCGTAGAATTAG